GTGTGTGTGTGTGTGTGGCCAGCTCAGCCCACCAGGGGGCGCGGCTGGCTGGCATGTGGTGCTGGGGGATTGAACCGCGGTCCCTGTGCTTTGCTAAACTTGCTCCAAGTAGGTGCTTTATACCACTGAGCCATCTCACCAGCCCTCACAAATAATTTTAAAGTATGCCTCAGAACTAAAAGATTATTCTATATTTTAGGTTTTCCTCATCAGATTGTGAGAAGTCCAAGCTGTCTATGAGTATGTACAAAGAACATATGTTAGATAAGGCAAGGTATTTTGAGATACGGCTCAGTAAAGTTGTCATTGCTCAAAACTTGGAGGACTAGGACAATATTCTTCTATTTACCAGTGTGATGCTACTCTTCTTCTTTTTATAATCCTTCATCTTATTTCTCTTGAGTGAAGATGGAGCTGCCCTTGTCCCTTGGCTCTCAACTCCAGCTATGCCCTTAGCAATATTTTCATCTTAATGAAGGGCTCAAAGTATAAAACCTTCCTGAAAGGGAGACCAGGGCAGGGTTCCTCATTACTGGCTTTAATGTTTATAGATGATTTACATAGGTCATTGTTTATTTCCAATTAGGTTGGCTTAAACCTGTTGACACTCCACCACTTGTGCTGAGGAAACATAATTGACTTTTAAAATAACTCAGGAGGAAAAGGGAAGCAGGTCTTGATGACTTCAGCATTTAGGTTCTGTCTTCAGATGCTTTTTAGCAAGATTAAAAAATTTGAATGGTCAATTCCATTTTAAATGGTCAGTTCTCCATGCCAACAAGAAAAGTTACCTATGAAATGGCTCTAAGCTCCATTGAGAATGAGAAAACAAATTATAAACCATATATATTTAATTCTGATAGCAATGTCCTTTCCAAATACTCAAGATACCAATGTGTGCACTTCCATAATTCCTAAGCTGAGTATTATTACCATTATTTAGTAGATGAAGAGAAACTGAGGTCCTAGGAAGTTCCTCATTAGTGTCATAACTGGCTAACACTACAGAAGAAATTAGTCTCCTGATTTCAAACATGTACTACTTTAAAGCAAGAATAAGCAAGAAGCTTTTATAACAAAAGTTGGAGATGATCAGAAAATTGGCTCTTGTACCATTTTTCTTACTGATACATAGAACTTCTTTACCCCAAGTTGTTGGCAACTTGGATTGCCAATAAATGTCTCTTGGGGCCTGAAGCTCAGAGGATCCAAGTTGCCTTGACACCTCTTGAATAAATTTGTTTCCAAGCTTCTTGCAGAATCATCTCATCATTCGCCTCAGAGAGAATTTAAAAAATAATAATAAAAAATGGAGCCACCAAACATGGCTCTTTCCAAACATCTGAAATGTTAAGGGGCTGGCTCAACTCATTTCCAGTGAGGGACAGAAAATGCATACCTGAGGACTCACCAAGGACACAGGGAGCAGAGCCTGGGACTAGAGGTTCAAATTCCTGTGACCAAAACAGAAGGAGGGGTAGTGCTTATTTCCAAATAATATTGATACTGCCTACCAATTCTCAGATGAAAAAAACAGAAATCAGGACCTGTCCTGTGAAGTCCATACCCCAGAAGTTAGAGTATAGCAACCTGGAAGCAAACTGTGTATCACTTTCCACACTTCATCACAGTATCAAAAGGGCAAGGATCAATGACTGGAGTGACCTGCTTACAGACTTTTAGTCAGTGATCAGACCAAAGGAGAAAGTGTAAAGGCTAGTTTACATTATCATTTCTGAAAGAATGCTAATACCCAATTATTTCAGGCTATGGAAGACAAAGTTTCGTCCAAGTTTATCTGGTTTTCACAAAATGTAAGACATTTCTCACCTATCTATCCATGATATAAATCCTTCTTCAGGTATTTTTAAGGGAAGTTTTATTTTTGTTTACTTTGCCCTTTGCTTTTTACTATTTCAACTGTCAGCAGCAATACTGAGTTTGCAGGAAGAGTCTCACAAAAACAAAAATGTGGCACTCAATCTTACACCATTCTCCAGATGACCCCAGCTCTAGTTTCTTCTCTGCTAGTGAAATGTTTCTGAGAATAATTCAGTCTCTCAAAATCTGTTCTTACTTGTAAAGAGAGAATAGATTAGGTGATTAAATAATAAATTGGAAAAAAAATAATAAATTGGACTAAGCCCTTTGTGAGACATATACTAGCTATGCTTAGGGATACAAAGGTGAATATAACATAGTCCTTGCCTCAAGAAACATGTAATTTGGAAGTGCCCATATGCGCATATATCCACAATTTATCATGAACTGTACACATTATAAAGGAGACAATATGTTCTATAGCCCCTTATTAGAGTTAATACTTATCTGACTGAGTAGGTGGAAATGAGAAAAATAATCTTTGTCTTTTTTCCCATTTTTTGTAAGTCTAAAATGACAGTAAATTTAAAAAATAAAGTGAGCAAAGATTCAGATAAAGCTGTGATGAGCAGAGAAAGGGCAAGGCAGGACAATATGGCAAGGACAGGAAAGTATCTAAAAAAATGACAGCTCACTTTGGAAAGTGTAGGGATGAAAGAAAATCCTGGTATCACACAGCTGTAACCCTAGCTATTCAGGACAAGGAGGAATTGCTTGAGCCCATTTTTGAAGCCAGCTTGGGCAACACAGTGAGACACTGTGCTGTTTCTCCAAAACAAAAACCATGGCCAGGGATATAGCTCAAACACACTGCGCCTGCCTGGCAAGCATGAGGTCATGAGTTTGATTCTCAGTACAAAAAAAAACAAAAAACACCAAACCACCAAACCCTGAGAAAAATTTAACTGGTTGAGCTAGTAAATGACAAAACCAGTCCTGCACTTAAGGAAAGTTCACCTGGCAGTGGTGGGCAGTAGACACTACAAGAAAACCGGAGGCAACCAGCCAGTTAAGAAGTTCTTGCAACAGACAGTGACAATGAGGGTTTGAGCTGAGACATGGCAGTGATTATTTAACAAAAAGCCTATTATTACCAATAATAATCTAACCAATAGTCTTAGTTGCTACTGAGTGCAATCTTTCGTGGCAAGTTGCAAACCATGTCTGGTGATAATTATTGTAAGAGTGCTATTTGGAACAGTTTTCTTGAAACAGTGTTAAAAGCCCAACCAGACTCCCTGAGGTTAGAACTATCACCACCTCCAGGGCTTGTACTCTCACGAAAGCACTCTGCCAGCCATAGAACAGTAGAGAGACCCTGAACACCCTGTAGACCCTTCCCTAAGATACAAAAAAAATAGAACGACAACTTCCATTACATGTGGATACTTCAGTACCTTGAGGTAAACATTCACAAATAATTTTAAAGTATGCCTCAGAACTAAAAGATTATATTTTAGTTTTTCCTCATCAGATTGTGAGAAGTCCAAGCTGTCTAGGAGTATGTACAAAGAACATATGTTAGATAAGGCAAGGTGTTACACAGAAGACTCAAAAAACCTTATTAATACAATGTTTATTTATCTTCCCTATCAAACCCTGAGCCAGTCACTTTCCCCAGGGAGCCCAGGGAAGTATATGGGAAGGAACACATAGGGCAGACAAGATACAGGAGAAAGAACTACGTGAGGTGGAGATGGCTCCTTTACATGGCGAAGAGGATGAGAAAGGCAACCATCAGGCAGAAGAGCCCCATGGCCTCCGAGAGGGCAAAGCCCAAAATGGCGTAGGAGAAGAGCTGCTGCTTCAGAGAAGGGTTCCTGGGAGAAAAGGAGAAAAGACTGAATATCTCGTCCACAGGGAGAAAAGGCCAAATATCTAAGGTGGGCTCAGGGAGAATTTTCTTCCCATTCATATTAAGCAAGGAGCAAGGTAACACCATTGTACCTCAATTTCTGCCCTGATGCACCAGTCTATGGTGGCTGAATGATGGGGGACTGTACAATTTAAGTCCTATGACACAGCCAGGTACAAACATTACCTTCTCCAGTGGATCATCCTTATCAACATCATAATTTAAAATCTTTAGGCCCGAACACTTAATATCCAGGACCTGAACAGGACAGAAGAGGCATCCACAGTAGCAGGGTCTTTCTAGACCAGTTTACCCCAAACTAAGAAACATATATGAGGGCCAGGGACATGGCTCAGTCAGGCCTGAGTTCAATCCCTGGTTCCGCCAAAAAAAAAAAAAAAGAAAAGAAACATATATGGCAAACTGCAATGGTACAAAATAAATGGGGAGTTATAAATGCTTGTCTGGTAACCCCTTCCTTCTCTCAGGCAATTTCTGGGGCATAGTCACAGGAACCCAGGGCTTCATGGACACAACAGAAAAACATTGTTCCAGGCGGGGAGATGGCTTAGTAGAATAAGTGCTTGCCTGGCATGCACAAGGGCCTGAGTTCAATCCCCAGTTCTGCCAAAAACAAAAAACAAAAACTAAACACTGTTACAGAGGTCATGAGAGTCAGAGGGGATGACATCCTTCTCTCATTTCAGAATAGTTGGAAAATTTTTTAAATACTATAAAGACTGCCAGGTGTGGTAAATGCACTCTTTCAGTACTCTGAGAGACCAAGGCTGCAGAATGGTAAATTCAAACCGGACGAGCAACTTAGTGAGTTGGTAAAATTTTGTCTCAACTTAAAAAATTGTTGGGGGGATGGAGGGAACATGCTCAGTGGCATAAGCACCTGCCTGGCAAGTACAAAGTTCTGAGTTCAATCCCTGGTACTGCAAATAAAATAAATATATAAATATATAGATAAAAAGGCTGGGGATGCAGCTCAGTACAAAAGCCTCAGGTTTTAATCCCTAGTACTATCCTGCCCTCATACACACAAAAAGGAAAAGCAAGGAGGGATGGGATGGACCTAAGAATGGGTGAAATAGCTGGGTGTGATGACGCATGCCTGTGATCCCAGCACTCCGGAGGCTGAGGCAGGAGGACTGATGTGAGTTCAAGATCAGTGTGGGCTACAAAATGAGCTCAAGGACAGTCAGAACTACATAGTAAGACCCTATCTCAAAGACAAAAAACCTGGTGATATGTTACGATGCAAGTCAAAATAGGACTTTTTTGGTACTGGGAGTTGAACTCAGGGCCATATCACCGAGCTACATTTTTGAGACAAGGTCTCTTTAAATTGCTAATTTAAATTAGGTTGGCTTGAACTTATGGCCCTCCTGCCTTAGCCTCTCAGAGTGCTGGGTACACCATCACATTCAGCTAAAGAACTCTGATCTTTTAAAATTGATATGTTGAGGCGCCAGGGAGATGGCTTAGTGGAATAAGCGCTTCCCTGGCAAGTGCAAGTGCTTGAGTTCAATCCTCGGTTCCACCAAAAAAAAAAAAAGAAGTCCCTTTTGGGGGCCTGGCCCTAGCTCAGTCCTTTAAGTGGCTGCTTCCACAAAGCTGTCAGCCTCAGGTTGCTGTAGTTCGATCCCCACAACTCCAGCCAGCCAAACCTGCCCTGAAGGTATTCGGAGCAAAAAAAATAAAAACCTTATGGGGCTAGGGAGATGGCTCAGTGGAATAAGCGCTTCCCTGGCAAGCGCAAGGGCCTGAGTTCAATCCCCGGTTCTGCAAAAAAAATTTTTAAAAAAAGTGGTAGGATCAATCAATAGTTTAAAATTGATATGTTGGGCCAGGGAGACAGCTCAGTGGCATTACTGTCTACCTTATAAGCGTAAGGTCCTGAGTTCAGTCCGCATTACCACAAAATAAATAAATAAATAAATAAAATTGACATACCATTTGCACTTCCCTGATACCTCAGAAAGATGCCATGAGTAAGGAAAAGCAACACTATAGTTTTTTTGTTATTTGAGATAGGGTCTTGCTATGTAGTTCAGGCTGGTCTTGAAATCACTGGGTAGCCCAAACTAGCCTCAAATGTATAGCAATTCTGCCTCAGTCTCCTGAGTGCTGAGATTATAGGTATGCGCCACCACAACCAACAACACCAGCTTTTTTTTTTTTGCAGAACCAGGGATTGAACTCAGGCCTTCATGCTTGCCAGGGAAGTGCTTATTCCAGTGAACCATCTCCCCGGCCCCAACACCAGCTTTTAACAGAATTACAGACACAGAAGCAGTAGGCTTCTTGTTTAATACAGATCCTAAAAAATAACTTTTCCTCAAAGACAATAAGAGACCTTGCTGGTCTCTAGAGGATTAATTTAACAGTGAGCTGCCAGAGTTGGCAGGAATCAAATAGTCCCAGGTGTCAGGGACCAGAAGGGCCAGCTGCACAAGCAGTTTTCCCGAGTGACAAGTGAATTCCCAGAGATGGAGAAAACACTAAAGTTACAATGCAGACTGAGTTCTATACCAGGATAACGAACTCTTTCTGAAAGGGCCAGGTAATAAATATGTTAGCTTCATATTGTCTCTGTTGCCTTCTAAATGTTTTTAATGTCTTTTTTTTTTTTTTTTTTTTT